AAAATCAGTCATAATAATGGAAGTTCACTCAAATAATTGCCAGAGTCAGAATGGACAAACATCTGGCTTATTCGTCCCTAGCTATACTAACAAAAATATGATATCCTGTTCGAAAAATCACTGAGCATCCTAGTTTATTTTGGCAGTTTTGCACCTTGGTATTTTTCCCTTAAATAAGAACATATCAGTACTTTACAGCTAGCATGCCTCCAGCTCCAGGTTCACAGTTCATGTGCTTCTGTGACTTTGAACTCTTCTTTTCCTGAGTTTACCAGCAGACAGCTGCACCAGAACAGAGATGTTTACATGTGGGGAGTAAATGGCAACTTGCAGCTCAGATTTTCCATTTCCTTTTGCATTGTTCAGGAATCCAGGCTCACAATTTGTGTCCTAAAGCTTTGCATCTGACTCGGTCTTTCATAGTACGAATGTTTTATTTTGACATTGATTTGTTGATAGAAAGGGCTGACTAGGGAGAAGCTACTTTCACTAGAAATTACCCTCAGTATACACGAAGTTCAATTGTGGGTGAAATAGCTTTTTAAGAAATATTCTAAACATCACTTTCTGTAAGGCTTTCAACCACTATGTAAATGTGAGACTAATGTGGAACCACTTTATGCAGCTTCAGCATGATAGATGTATTTTTAGATGGAGAAAAATTACATTTTCTATTAAGAATGATGACGAAATCTGATTATCTGCTTAAACCATGACACTGTCTATTTAAGCTATTGTCATGTGTAGGTGATTCCCAGATGTGCTTGGCAAGGCAGTAATTACATGAAGGAGGTTGTGATAATTATAAACAAGAAACAAAACCATCAGAGTGATTTGTTCGTTTACCTGAACCCTGAAGTGGAATTACAGACTCCAGTGAAGAGTTCGTTCTGTCTTTACACCACCCAACAGACTTGTCCGTATTGCCTCATTTAATATTTATGGGCTTTTCCTTTCCCTTTTGTACGTCATTTTGATATTTTGGGTTCAGGCTCTGAATGAAAACTATTGATGATTTTGTAGCAGGAGTGAGTGAAGTAGATGTTATGTCAGTGATTTGTAGAAAGACCTATAGTAATTGTGTGTTGTGTTTTGCCTACTGTTGTTTTGAAACGATACCGTGGTTACCCTGATGTGTTAGAACATGCTAGCTTTTGGTCATCCTGCATGCAAATTTTATGAGAACAAATTATTTGACCCTATTGGATCATTTTGGTGCAGTTTACTTCTGATATAGATGTGTTTATTAATTGCTAGGTTTAACCTATGGCCCACTATTAAAAGTAATATAATAGGAGTGCATTGCTGATACATGAAACTTTAATTTTTAAACTTCATTCCCAGTGTTCCTTATGATACTTGGGCTCTAAAACTGAAGTATAAAATCAAACAGCAGAGTATTTGTAGAATTAGGTTTTGCCCTTTATATCACCACACAGTGAGAGAATCCTGAGAGCCCTATTTACTGAAAATTACATACAGAAAATAATCTTTTAGAACTTGTCCAGGTCATCAAATCCTGTAGGTGCAAAAAGGGGATTCAGAATGCAAAGCAGGGCCTGCAAGTGTAATATCCCTGATCTGAGTCTGCATATGTTTGCCATGGGGTTGTGTTCTTAGTCTGGCAGTGCAAATACCTGTGTGTTTTCTGTGAGCTTGCTAAAGGCAAATCAGTTACCTCTTTCACCTCATGGCTAGGCTTCGCGAATGAAGATTTGGGAGTTACCTCTTTACTTTTATTAGAACTGCTTTAGAACTCTCTTTGTGCCTGGGAGATGAAAGCAAGCAGTTAACATCATGCTAATATCTATTACAAACCTCCTACCTGCTTGCAGGGCAGCAGCCCAGGTAGCCATGATTCATGGGGGTGGAAAAAGGCCGCTTGGCAGGGGACAGGATAAACAGACATCCAGGGAGGGGAGCTGAAGCTGGGCAAAAACTGTGTACACAGGTAGCAGTGGTTGTGTTATAAACTTTTCTTCAGTTGAGGTACACAACTGCTTAAGTAAATGTTTGTTACCCAAAATCTACGTCAGGTAACCTGTAATCTATAATTGTATAGTATAGTATGGCCAGTCTTCGCGAACGAAGATTTTGGGAAAGGTCTTTTACCTTTCCAGCCTGCGCAATGGATTTTTTAGGTGAGACACAGCATGCGCTGAACTGAGCCCACCCTTTAATCCTAAGGTTCGTCTGCCGGGGCCAAGCGAGCTTGGACAATGGCAGTGAGGTCCTCAGGACGTAGGTTTGTTTAGAGTGACCTTCTCTTAGATGGATGCCCTTACAGGGCTGACGTGCTCCATCTGCCCAGGGGAGTTTCCTGACCGGGAATCGAACCCGGGCCACGGTGGTGAGGGTGCCACATCCTAACCACTAGACCACCAGGGGTCCCCAATCTATGATTGTAATGTATTGACAAAGTATATATGAGAAATCATAACCAAAATAAATGGCCTGATTTCTGTTGTTACATTTAAAGTGATTAGCTGGTTTATCTCATGATCTCTAAATGTAGACTAGCTTGAAACTTCCTATTCATAGTCTGTGTTTTTCATTGGTGCTTTCATTTGAAAGCAGGAAACAATCTGAAAGTAATTGTATCAAGTGTTTCAGCACGAAGATTTTAAATTATAATAGCTTGGCATATTATTCTACCTTCTTACTATTCCTTGGAGGAAATAAAATGGAGTTGCAACTTTCATCCAGACAGCTTTTCTACTACATCCTGTTTCCTTCCGCACACTGGAGAAAGCACTGACATCTCCCTTTCCTCCGCTTCCAGTGAAAAAATTCCATTCCCCATGTTGTAGCACACACTCTGGTGAAAACTGGTGTTGTGTTAGCTTTTCAGATGTCAATACAGTATTTGGGTTTTTTTAGGCGAATGCACATTTGCCCTCCCTATCAAAGGAAAGCATTGCAGAGAACAGACGAATATGCACAGCTGCTCAGATAGGTGGCCCCCCGCACAACTCCCCTAGCCATTTGCCCTGTCCAAAGGGTGGCTTGTACCTCCCGGAGAGAACCATAAAGTACTGTGTGAGCAGTTGCTGTATTTACTGGAAGGCTGACATCTCTGCTTTTCTCCCGCTGAAAGGCAGACTTGCAATCCCCCTTTCTCTAAGGAAAATTGACCCTTGAAAAGGCTTGGCATGAAATGGATTAACTCCCTGGAAACTTTGTTTGGAAATGTTAGTAGACTGCTATGTATATACACTGGCAGTCTCTGGAAGAGACAAATTATTTTCCCACCCTCTCAAGCACTTGGTAGTTTATCTGTTGTTTATATTAAGGATTGATCATGGTTATATATTCCTGATTCAGAGTTCTCATTAATCACCCTATGCCACATAAGAGATTGGAGAAGAAGAATAGGGGTTACTGGAAAGCAGAAACGTGATCCCTGGCTCTGCTTTTAATATGACTTACCTGACATTAGCTTTGCTCCTATGAATTACTGTGTTTGTGTAAACCTCTTTTTTTTGTTTCCATGTTTGGTATGTCTGTTTTTCTCAGGGCTATTCAGAAAAAGATGATATACTTATTACAATGATTTAGGAGAATATTAATCATACTTGCCACGTTACTATTTCAAGAGGTCCCTGCCCCCCTCAGCATGCCCACCTCCTTGCTTCCTCTCCCAGCCCCAGCAACCATTTCCTCCCTCAGAGCAGATCCACACAGGCAATTGTTTAAGCCTGTGCAAAATGAAGAAGAGGTGGAAAAGGACTGCTGGGGTGAGGACAAATGCCCAAAGGCTGTGACTTCCTAAAGTGCATTGGCTGCCAACAGAGAGATACTTTCTGCCACAGCAACAGAGCAGATTTGTGCCTCCTCCTCCTTGACCCTACTGAAGGTTTCCAGCCCTGAAATGTTCAATCAGCTGTTGTGGTCACTTCCCCTCCTAAGCATGGGAGATAAAACTGCTGGCAAGAGGGAAAGAGAAGGGAATTTACTGATTTTTACAAGTTGATTATGAGGGTTATAGGAACACATTACCAGCCCTGCTTGGAGTCAAGTTGAGAAGCCTCTGGAGCAAGTATTTTCTCACCCTGGCTTGTCAGCCTGAAAGTCCCTTCACATCCTTCAGAGGCGTGCATTGAGCCCAACTCATTAGAGTGTTCTGGTGGGAAATTGTTACATTGGCAAATTTTCAACCAACGGGAGATTTAATCCCTTGAATTTTTTTATTTGCTTTGTACTTGTGTTTGTCTAATAAAAAGAAATTATTTGGATTTTAAAAGAAGCAATTGAAATAATTGCTGTTTGACAAATCAGAGCAAATTCTCTCTGCAGAGACTGATACAATTTAATACAGATGATCTTCTCTTTATTTGTAGCTCCACTAAAAATACTTTGCCAGGTGTATCCTAATTCTGGACAGATTTTTCTCTTGAGTCATGTTACGTTCATGTCTGCCTTCTTTGGTGCAAAAGCCCACTATTAAATTCACTATTTAACAGCATATTCAATACTATGACTGTAACTGCTGGTTTGTGTTTATAATTAAACATTCTCTCCACAAAAGCAAGAGATCATCAGAAGTTCTGCAAACTTAGAAGAATTTAAGTCCATTAGTTGTGAATAAAACACATCTTTAGTGAAATTGAAGGAGGAGAAATAATATAGGAAAGTCTTATATCTGTGAGAATTTGCAAACTTTTTAAATGTAATTGCACAGAAACAGTGATTTTAGAGGACTAGATTTTTTTAAATACTTTGATTCAAACTAATTTAGATTGCTTGGGTTTTTTCCCCCCATGTGACTACTTTTGATGACATATTGTACATATCAAGAATAAGAGAACTTATTTCTGAGTTGGGAATAGGTTTTTAATCAGACTCAGTAATGTAAATAGAACTCTATTTGAAAGTTCATTCAAAACTAAGTAGTGGTGTATATTTAAGTGCACTGTATGCTAAAGTAGAAATATCCCCCAGTGTTCAACCAAAAGCATGTTTAATGTGTGGTTTTGTTTTGTTTTTTTAATGTTTAACAGTAACTGAAGCTGGCTTTGGTGCTGACATTGGGATGGAGAAATTCTTCAACATCAAATGCAGGGTGTCTGGCTTGTTTCCCAGTGTGGTTGTACTTGTTGCTACAGTGAGGGCTTTGAAGATGCATGGAGGTGGGCCAAATGTAAGTTTTTGCACCTTTCTTGGAAAATAAAATAGTTGCTTGTATTTGAAATAAATAAAATATCTTGATTTAAGAAATATTTGGGGTAGCTTAAGGGCCAGTATTTAAATAACCCTTCTGAGATACCTCACTATATAGATGTTACCTCTAAAGTTAATGCAAGAAAGGCACAAATGAAAGAAGAGGGACAAAAGAACTCTGAAGAAGTACTGTATCTTGCTGAGCTAGGAAAGTTTGTTCACATGAAAAAAAAAGCTATAAGATATAAATATCTATATTCTTTTTCCTGCCTTTTGAAATAGCATTTTAAAGTGCATTGAAGTAGTCACAGGCTGGGAAATTTGGCAGCTGAGGAGGAATGAGAATGAATTCGGGTTGCAGTGTGTGAGTGGAAGTAGAGAACATTGTTGGTGAAGGTTTTGAGATTTCTTTCACTCCAGTAATGGGTACCCATTACCCCTTCTGTCCTTTTATTTTGTTCAGGTTAATTTCCTCAGAGATGCTGAAGTAACTGATAAAATTTTGCAAATGTTTTCCTGGTGTACCAAAAGTCACCAGTGTATCATTTCTTTGCTATTTAACCCACAAAGAGACTTGTACCAATTACTGGTTGTAGAAGTGCTCCTCAATCGTGCAGTGAGATCAAACTCTGCTAGGCAACTCTGCTAGCCAAGTAGACAGACACTGAAATTAACTCCTGAAAACACTTTCATCTGCCCAGCAGCGTGGTAGAGAGTGATGCTGCCAGGGAAACAGTCTCACAGGGTGAAAATACCAGAGCTGTTTCCACAGCCACAAAATTTTGGAATGCATGGTCTCCCTTACAGCTAAACACCTCTAAGAGTTAAAGCTGAGCCATCCTTTTTCAGTCTTTCAGGTTGATATAATTACAGGACTTTCTGTCATTTTAGTCCACTTCTAATGCACCTTTGTTTTTAATTACATTCCTCCATTCCTTACAAGGCAGGTGTATTGTCACACGTGTTATCATTCAATCTAGCAAAAATAGGACTTAAATATGTCTTAATAACTGTTTCTGTTTTTGTCTGAGTTGCATCTTTAGAAGTTTAAAGCTTTTGTTTGTTTACAAATGCGACGCATTCATCACAGAGGCATGTAGAGTACCAGATACTTTTGCTGGGAGGTTAACTATAAAATGGACTAGAGAAAAAAGTGAGTAAGTCCAGTGCCTGGGATTGATGTATGTAGTCCTTGGAGACTAAATATAGTACCCTGGTTATACTCTTTGCATGTATACCTTTGTGCTTTCCAGAAAAAGTAAATTACTTGCATGCAGTTCCTTGCCCCAGGCAGCAGTTGCAAGACATTAAAAGATGATGTTCCTCTTCTGGTCATCTGTGTTGCTGTTATTTCTTCAGCCAACTGTTGGAGGTTGCTGTCCATTGTCTTTGTACTGCTGGTGTCTTGTAACAATATGTAGAATGAAATCCAATTACCTCTCCTTTACTGCATCTTTTGCAACTAGTTGCTAAGTCACTACCTGTATCTTACTACCCAAATACAATAGGAAGTGTTGGTATTCTTTATGTACTGGTGAAATTAAACAGAAGCTGCAGGCAGACTATGATGTTGTGTGCAATGTATGTGTTAATTGGCAGTATAGAAAGTAGGCAAAAGTGCATTGCAGACCCTCTAGGGTTATTACAAGTGTCAATCTGTGATGATTTTGTTTATTATCCCAGGTAACTGCTGGTGCCCCCTTGAAGAAAGAATACACAGAAGAGGTAAGAGGAACAGTTATAAAACTTAGGAGAGGTTTCTTTAAAGGAACAAAATAATGTGGCATAGGGAGAATCAGAACTTCTTGTTCCTCTGGCTGCATAGCGTGCAGCCTCAGGTTTGACAATAGCACGCTCTAATGCTGACATTCAGTGAACATCTTTAGTAGGCACTGCCAACAAGTAAAGCCATCTCATCCTCCCTCAGCCCCTTTCTGTTATCCCTCTTGGATGTGTTATTTGTGTGACTGCATGATGGATTGTAGTGAGGAACTGAAATAGCTGAAAAATAACCTTTTTTCAGTAGTTTTTCTGGGACTACTAAGTTTTCAGATTGATCAGCATACAGGCATTTATGGAAGGAAGGGAGCAGAGTGGTGTAGGGGTCAAAGACATCCCTGAAACTAATGACAGCATAACCCGTTCATTAAACAAGTTGAATCTGTGTTTCATGTTTGGGCTTGGATGTCACTCGTCAAACAAGTGTGAATTCTACTGGTTTGTTTTCTTCATCACGTCACTGTAGCCGAATTCTAGTCTTCTGCTTGTATGAAGCTAAGAATATGTGTTTTGTTATAATTAAGACAAGGTCTACAAAGTGTGAGGTAAAAGAGTAAATAAGGAAATCCAGTAATGTGCTTTTATCTGGGATATGTATGTATATATAGATTAAACGATATATCTAACATATCTGTATGTCAATCCCCACCCCACTACTGTAGTTTTTATAAACTTTGCAAACGAGAGACTAACAGCTCTTTCACAATCATGACAAGCAACCACTCATCAGCTGTACCATCTTCTTGTGTCCTAGAAGAGAGCAATGGTTTCATGTACAAACTTTGTACACTGATAGTTACTTAAATATGTCTGTTGCTTATTAGTTGAAATAAGAATTAATAAGGGCAAAAATTCTTTTGTCTGGAAGCTTTTCACTTGCCTGCAGCTGTCATGATCAACACAGTTTTGTTAACTCTAATTTACAGAAAATTCTTTGGCTGGAGAAGTCTTTATGTATGTTACCATTTCCATTAATTTTTATTTAATTGCACAGAACCTCCAGCTGGTAGCTGATGGCTGCTGTAATCTACAGAAACAGATTCAAATTACTCAGCTCTTTGGAGTTCCTGTTGTGGTTGCTCTAAATGTCTTCAAGTAAGTCTATTCTTTGACTACTTTTGTGAGTAAATACACAATTTAAACTTCTCTCTTTTCTTGGTTTTTAAATTAATGAATTTTGGCATAAAGAAAAGAAGCTATTAAAAAATTTCCATTTTCATCATGAGTATAAAGATATTTAACTCCTTAGCTTGTTCTTAAGGTTTTAAACCAGCAAAAAGTATATACTGTTATGAAACTGACAATCTTCCATGTTAATTAGCTATAACAATCACAAAGAGTTTTCTTGCAACATCTAAATATGTATACTTTGTATAAATGCATTATGTATATGGCAAAATTTCTATATTGCTTTACAATTGCTGATGATGGAATAAGGCTAAGTTTATATGGTTATAAAAGAGTACTAATTAAACAAAATAATGAGATGGAATTGTTTGCCTGGCAGAACTGACTCTCCTGCTGAGGTTGATCTGGTGTGTAAGATTGCCAAGCAGTGTGGAGCATTTGATGCTGTACCCTGCAATCACTGGTCAGCTGGTGGTAGAGGAGCAGTAGAATTAGCTCAAGCTGTGGAAAAGGCGTCCAATCAGAAGAACAGTTTCAAATATCTCTACAGCTTGGAGGTAAGATTTTTTTTTTATGAAAGCATTCTGCATCAGAGTTGGATTTAAAACAAGAAGAACATTGCAAAAGTTATCCAATATACTTGGAAAGGAACTTGCCTTGGTTTAAAATCACAAAAGCTGGAGAGAACAGTCTGTGGCTTGTCTAATCAAAGAGCAGGATACTTGCTGGTAATAATTGTTGTTTAGTGCACTGAATGATGTTTCTGATGCTTCCATGTTTAATGTGAAAGTATGTATGCAGATGGAACATTCACAAATTATTGAGAGACTTCTCCACAAAGATCTCACACTCATGGTATTTTTCCTGTCAGTCAGCTAAAATGAAATGTAGTTGCTGTATTACAGTGATGGGTATTGCACCACATTGTGGCTTCCTGAAGCGTTCACTTTCCATATGAGAAGGATGTAACAGGTAGCATGTCCTCGCTCATCCTACGTCTACCCAGCCCAGCCAGGTCAACACAGAGAAAAAGCACTGCCTTTACCAGCACCTTCTTACACAACACAGCTCTCAGATGAACCTGAAGAGCAGAGGTGACCCAGTCCTGTTCCTTCTCTCCTGATGATCAGATTGGAGTCTAGTAGTACTAGTACAATATGGCACACATATGTGGGTCACTGCTGCTGTTGGCTTTAAATCCTCAGTCTACCCAGGAACAGCTCCCAGTGCCCTTGCCTTGCTCCAGCTGATGGCACCTGAGTCCACAAGCCCCTGAGTTTCATGCCTTACTCCAGCTGCTGGCACTCAGACCTTTCCTCCTGCTCTCTAGTGTTCATACATACATATCTAGAGCAGAGAGCACACCCGCACAGAAGGGAGTCAGAAATCAGATTTAATGAGAATAGAGCATAGATTGTGGTCCTCGAGCACAGAGCTCAATTAGTCAGACTACTGACAAGGCACACACCTTTACACCCAACTGATGCCTTCTTCCTCGTTTCACTCATTTTTTTTCCCCACACTTGTTCCTTTTCGATCCATCTTGATTACTCCCTTTCCCCATCTTTGGTCCTTCTACTAAACAATCTTTACACATTCCCACAATCCCTTTGAAAACCCCATCCTAAAGTTTACATAGTCCCAAAATCTGCTTGTTCATACATCCCACAGAGTCATGTGCTGCTGTAGGCAATCACTTGCTTTCATTTACAGTTTTCTGATCAAAGAGTCTCCCCATTGACTCACCTTGGTGCATTTCACAGCAAGGACAGTAGTCTCATCTTCCCCTTGGATAGGAAACAGGCAATTCAACGCGCTCTAATTTTCACTGTTTAGGTTTTTCCACCAATTACGTTACTTGAGTTCCTCCACCTGTCATTGTTCCTCTGATCCTTCCTGGGGCTTTGTGTCTCATTTGCTTAGCCATTAGATAACCTAACAAATGATAGTGTAGTCCAAGTTTCAATCCTATGTCTGCCAGAGATAGTGACTCTTTTTCCATGTCTTGGAGACTTTCCATGTTATTGGAGTTGTCTGGAAGGTAACATCGCAGCATTGTGACCTGTCAAGAGAAGTAGCTTGCAAAGAAGGATTGCTTGGGAAGCTCCATGCTTTGAGTACCACTGTGGTGGCAGAACACTTGGAGGGACATATTGCCAAAAAGGTTATACAAATGATTTCTCAGGACCTTCCTAGCTATCCAAATGTGGGTGGGTTTAAATCTGGCCAGCCAAAGAGACTTCTCTGGTTTCGAGGCTTTGGAGCCAATTTGACAAGGGCTGTCAGATTTCAGATCCTGTGCCCTAATTGACTGTACTGCTTAAGTTTCTTTAGAAAATGTCTGAATGATATTTTTTAACAAGAGAACCTCAGTTTCATTCTTTTAAATGGCTGAAAGTTCCTGTTTTGATTCTTCTCTCCAGAAAAAAGTTCAGCTTGAGGTAGATATGCCCTACTATTGTCTTCCATTCTCCCTTCTCCATGATATGTACCCTGTATGTGTTGCACCCATTTTATTTCTTCTTTCCATGTCCCCTACTGTTTTTCAAAATGTCAGTAATCCAGACAACTCCTATCAATATTAACCAGTGCCTTGACAGAATAGAGGTAAATACATTGGGAATATTAGTGCTGCGGCATCTACTCAAGGCATTTTGCCCATGCAACTTTTTTACAGCTAAAAAATGAACAATGTATCTGCCTTTCTAAGTTTGTCTCTTCTGAGGTGCTCTGAAAAATGAAGCTATCATCTTACTGAGCTTGCGTAATAACATAGAGAAAAAAATTCTTTGAGAAATATATGCAATAGTTTTAACCGCTGGACACTTGTCTTACAGAGATAGGACATTAGCACTGACCAAGTCACATCCTTAGGCTCTGATGTTACTAAATACTGTGTAGCTTATAATCTTGTGGTATGAATGAGTAAAAAGGATTGGTAAGGATGGACTCTAAGTCTAAAGAAAATGAGATTGGTTTCTACTTTAATGTCTTTCCCGGGCACATCATTTCATGCTGTGTTGCATGAACAGCATGATCTTAAGCACAAAGGGAATGAATCACAACTTTACATCAAGTTAATATAACATAACTTCACAAAAGTATTATAAGTCTCAAAAATATATTGAATGGATTTTATAAAAACATATAAAGATTTTTAAATACTGTAAAGAAAGTAAATTCAGGCCAACAAAAACAGTAAAGTTCAGGCTTCTGTTTCATTCTTAATGTGCAAAGGATGGGGAATGAAGCAGTTGGAATAGGAGAGTGAAACAGCAATGCTGTCACTTGTATAGTATGTAGGTCAATTGGTTACTAGGCTCACAGAGAAGTGAAGGAAAGCCACCTCACCCAAATGAGCCTGCCCAGATATTAATCAAGATTGTAAGAAGATTTTTTGGAGGGATATGATTTCTACTGTTCAAAGGGGTAAAATTAAGAAATTTAAGAAAGATAAGAGGTAGTAAAGTGGGATTCAGGCAGGTGATTTTCCCCCATCGTTGTTCCTAAAGGGTGTGTAAGTGAAAGGACATAATTCTATCCCTCATCTGACTGCTAGATTTGTCCAGTTACTTGAATACTATTACATTCTGGTTGCCTCAAGTTTGATGGGATTTGAGCTGTTGTTGGCTTTTCTCCTGTTTTCTTTCCCCTTTGGAAGGTCAAAGAGGAGAAATATCCTGTGTAAAACCACTACCATGTCATTCATGTCTTTATGAAATTACTCTTCCTTTTACTACGTCTCCATTTAATCCTTTGATGTCTATGCACCTTGTTTTCCTGTCTGGAAAACTAAATCAGAATTTGCTTCTAAAACTGGCTATAATTGGAACAACTTCCAACAGTACAGATCACTATAGTCAAAACAAGTTCATTCAGTAATTTGATGTTTTGTTAGAAAGCATCTCCCCAGCTTGAAAAAAAACCCTTAAAGCCCCTATATGTAAAACTGGTTTATATCCTTTTAAACTACTTAGAATAAAGTTTGCAGTAAACTATTTTATTAGCATACAGTCAGAGATTTAATTAAAGGATAGTCCAGACCAAGTGTGCTCTCTTTGTTTTGGTTTTTTTTCCAAATGGCATGCATCTCTCCAGTGCTTTATGTAATTTCCAAATGTATCTCTGAAAACAAAGACTTCCTTGAAAGGTATTTATAAATGTGTATAATATGAGAAGAACAAGAATGTATTTTCTAGATTTGTTAAATACTGTTTCTGAACATAAAATCTGTTCAATAGGTTTCCGAATCCTGAAGTATGGTTATACATTTATACCATTTTTTTTGATACCCAAGCATGCACTGAATGAGCAATTTTAGACATTGGGCACAACACAGTTGTGTCAGTTCAGGACTCAGGCTTTGCTAAGCTGTCCTGTTCAGTATCATAGCAAGCTACCCTACTTGCTAACTGTGTAACTCTACTTGCTAACTGTAAGACTGTGCTAACTATATTCCTTGAAGCACCTATTTTGGTCTGTTTAAATTTCCTTGGGTTCAACTTCGTGACACATTGTTCTATAGTCCCACTTTTAGATAGCTTTTCAGGTTCTCTTTATTTATTTCTGTAAGTAGGCAAGATTTTTTTTTTTTTATCAAGTGGCTGATGCTTGTAGTTTGTCTTTTTTTTTGGTCTTGATTCTAGCAAGGATTTGTTTGACATTTGGTATTAGATGAACAAATATTTTTCAGGAGCTGAAATGAAAATAGAATAGCTTATATATGGTTTTGGGAATCTCTATCTGTACCAGTGTAATTTCATGGACAGAGTACAACATGTGACCGTTGACAAGTATAGACAGCACCATTGCCACTGCAGGAGTGTAAGAAAATGACATAAACAGATGCAGTGTACCATAAAATGCTTACAGTATTAGGAATTGCACAGGGTGGAATGGGTCGTTCAGGAGCAAGGATGAGTTTTCATCTGATAGGCTCCAGAGTTTATAACACAGTTGAAAAGATTACTGGCAGTAGTTGAAATAAATACTACAGTATTGTGTGCTTTAGTATGGATTTTTGTCCCCTCTGCACAATAACCTCTCTTAATTTACTGTTGTTTTCTTGAAGAGTATTTCCCTTCAGTGCTTGAAGGATAGATTTGTTTTAAAGGCCTTCTGAACTCTCTATGAAATAATCTGTGGTGGTTTATTTTAACATATATTCGTGCTACATATGGAAAATATCAAAATATCAACCCTCTTATCACTGTTGACTTCCCTTCTGGGTTCACTTTTCTTGAAGTATGGGTCTTTAAGTTGCAGCAGAAAGCTATTGCTCAAAATAAAGTTGACTGACCCATTAAAAGTAAGTTTAGACAACTAGGGGGAGGAAAGGAGAGGATGGAAACATTTGCATCCCATTCCCAAATTTCTCTGGCCACTCTTGGCCAGGGGTTGCTTGCCTGTCAAGTAACCTGCCTTCTTCCACTAACCTGGTCTTCTTTTTTCTCCTGTGGTGAACTCTTCCTTGACTAACAGGAGCCCTCCTCAACCTGGGGCAGGAAACAGAAAAAAGCAGAAAAAAGAAGGCAGGCATTAGATTTTTAAGAGTTAC